AGGAGTGAGGGGTACCAGTAGGGCTAGGGGCTGTTTTCTACTTAAATTATTTACTAGGTCGGGATTGGCTGTCGATGTTTACAAATGGGTCCTGGTACAAAAAAGGTTGACAACCCCTGGATTAGATGCCCTCTGAAGGCCTGGCCAGCCTGACTTTATGATTTTCTATCATTTTGGTGACTTCCAGACGCAGGTCACAGCACCCTGAGGTCTTTGGGTGCCCTGAAGTCCTTTCCAGGGGTGCTGCAGGATGCCCTGAGGTCCTTTTGAGTGTGCTGTGGGGTGCTACACAATGTTAATGCTGGTATCAAATGTAGCTCATGAGATTAAACCCAGAGATTTCAAAGAAGGAATCAGTCATGTTAAATCTGTTCTGTCCCTCTGTGGGCTTCCTGAGTTCTTTGCACCAGAAGAATTGATCTATTACTACCTTTCTGTAGCCAAAGAATAAGTGAGAACAGTTTTCTAGGGGCATCCAGATTTTATCAAGGTGTGCCTTAAGTCTGAACAATGTTGAGAACCACTGCTCTGAGGTGCAGCCCTGCCCTGCCTTCTGCCTGACCTCACAAAGAAAGCAGGGCAGGGTGACCTCTTTGGCCACAACTATGGACATGCAGTATGTGGCACCGCATACCCATCTGTGGTGCCACACACTGCATATCCAGTCATTCCCTGCACTGCTACCTTGCTGAGTAGGGAAATTTTTTTACCTTGGGGCAGCAGCACACACCACCCATAACCAGAGTCTGACTGGCCAGAGCCACGCTCCAGCTATCAGCCAGGCTCTCAACTGCAGGAATGCTGCAGCTGCAGCACTTCCAGGCCCCCAGGACTCCAGGTGAGGCTGCTGGGGCCAGCACAGTTGCTGGCCTCAGCCTCCCCTACCCCACGCAGAGTAACCTGCCATGCACCAGAGCACCTGTGGCTCAGGAGTTATTGGGGACAAGTAGCAGCATCACCAGGTGTTGGAGAACTGAGCTGTAGACAACATGAAGTACAAGACAGACAGGTGTGCTGGTGCTGCTTGTCCCCAAGGAAAGAAATGTCCGTGTTCGTCCGGATGCAGCCTTTGAGAGCAACTCCAGTGTTTGAGCCTCTCCAGTGATGGGGATGTTAGAAATAGAAAGTGTGCTAGTTAGCATCACATCCTTCTAGGAAGTGTTGGAGTAATCAGACTTCAGATGCTTTGTGCAGAAAAGCCCCCCTGGCCACTTCGCTTTGAGGATCTCCAATGCATGTGGCAGGGGACCATCCCTTTGCAGCTCTTTACAGGCCTTACTGTGCCTTATTTTGGCTAAAGATTAATGAGGTAGAAACATTATATCATTTGTTGTGATTCTAACAATAACCATAGTGTGCCTCATTACTAATTTTTTTTTAATGATAGTTTTGCAAGGCCCTATCCTACAGTTGCTGCATCAGTATAGGCAGGTAGATCTAGCCTTAGGACAGCGGATGAATAGACATAACCCTTGTAGTGCTGTTGTGAGGTAGGCATTATTATTGCCCTTTTATTGTGGGGACTAAGACACAGCGTCTAACTGACCTGCTTCAGTTAACACAGAAAGTTTGTGACAGGTCTTAGGATGTCTGGTCTGCATTATATTCACAGGACCATTCCTCCCCCCACCTATGCAGTGCCTACGCTGCTTCTGTGTTAAATGATGAAGTGTAAAGAGTACAAATGAGCGTGAGTAATTCTTAGAGAATCAATTATGTCAGTCTCTATTCTAGTATTACTGAGCATTTTTTTTGAAGGTGGAAAATGTAATGTGTTACTCTTCCAAAACTCCTTCAAGTTTTGCTAATAGTATCTGTAATATTGTGCATCTGACTCTGTGCAGCACAGTCTGCCTGTTGCAGACTCTGGAACGAGGCTCCATAGAGTGGAAGTCCAGAGTTGTTGGAGTCCAACATACTGCATAAGGAGCAGTTGGACTTGTGAAATCTTTCTGTGCATAAAAGCAACTTCAGTAACAGCCTTCCTTTCAAAATGTGGTGTAGCACTGGAAATGTCTTGAAGGTCTTAAAAGTAAAAGCTGTTAACATTAGTTTTTCTTTTAAATGTCTGGACAGCACACTGAGGATTGTTTAACATTTTTACTGCTGTTTTTAGAGGTTCTTATTTGAGAAGCTCACTATTATATAAATTTCAGTCATGATGCACGGTACCAAATTATAATCAAGCCAATACACAGTTATGTATATTTTTTTCTTATATATACAATAACTTTAGTGTGCCAGTGCTTGCATCTAGCCCAGTGATTCCCAAGGGTGTGCTGTAAATATGTTATATGGAATATGTTAAGGGTTTAACAACATATATATACATGCATGCATGCGCACACATTTTCAGGTGTAAGTGTGAAACGTGCAGCTAATTTTAATCCAGAAAAAGGTATCAAAAGTTTGAGAGACTTTATTTTGAGATGCTCAAGTGATTCAAGTTAAGAGCAAAAACTAATATTTGAACTCCTATAATGATATTAGATCACAGGAAAACTTAAAGATGCATACAACTAAAAAAACCTGCTTTTTAACATTGTGCTGCTTAGAGGGACTAGCAGGAAATATCTTTATATGAAATGTAGGTATTATTTCTAGATCAGTGGTTCTCAATATTTTTAGGCTCAAGACACCTCTAACTTTTTGGAAATTAGAGGCACCCCATTTAAAGACTAATTTATTTCTTACAGGGCTTACCTTTTTGCACCGTGCAGCACCCTTCAGAAGATCTTGCAAGGTGGGCAGGGCACCCCAGAGAGCATGGTGGTGGATTGTGCACAGTGGTTGATGCTGGCAGTGGCTGCTTGGTGGGACAACAGATAAGCCTTTTTTTTTTTTTTTTTTTTTTTGTAGAAAGACAAAATGCCTTCTGTTTGCTGATAGCTCTAGTGTCTGAGACACACCTTGGATATAAAGTATTGTTTAATCCTTCCTTCAGAGCATTCACTGCTAATGCAAATGATAAACAGACACTTAATGTTTGAGTTATGAAACGTCCATCTACAGTTTTGTTTTAGTGCAGGCAGACTTTTTACCGTCCTTTTCATGTCAGTGGTGGGTGTGTGTGTGCATGCATTATTTTTGCTGAGAGATCAGCTGTGCCAGGATGCATCTCCCTGTCTTCCTTCCCCCATGCTTCTGGTGCCTGATCCCGCAGGACAGTGGTCTGGAGTGCCTGGCCTCAACCCGGTGTGTGCATCTCCAAGAGCAGACAAGGAACCCCATGGGGTTCCCGTGCTCTGCAGTGTGAAATGCATGCCCCAGAATCCCCTGCAGGGGATTTTCCAGGGTGTGTGTCTACAAGCATGGAGAAGGGAAGCCCCTGTGAGTACCTTGTTCCACAGCTGAAATGCTGCAGGGGATTCCAGGGCAGGTGTTCCATGTTGCAGAGCAAGGGAACTGCATGGGGTTCCCTGCTCCATGGTTGCAGATGTATATCCTGGGTTAAAGAGGTGTTGAGATTGGGGTGAAAGCAGATGCCTGTGGTATGTCTGGGTTCCCCATCCCACCAGATAACTGGGGACAGGCATTCAGATGCTTTTAGCAATGTCTTGGGACAAACTGTTACTGCACTTTGTGGCAGCAGACTTTGGGTGGTGTGCTGGGGCAC